CAAGCAGAGAACTGGCAGTTTAAATGTTTAGTCAGGTTATGAGTAGGAGAGAGGATAAAGGAAATTAAAGGTGGATATGACAGAGCTAAACCTTGCTAAAAACCTAAGAAAATAAAGTCTCCCCCGTCACCTATATCTATATACTTATGGTTTACAACAGTTCTGAATTTAAAGACAACTTATGTCCCAATTATTTAAATTTCAAAAAAATCAGACAGAAGCAAATAAGACTATAATTCAGTAAATTACAATATATTCAAGAAAATATTGAATTAGGATCACAGACATGCTAGAATTTCAAAGCGGACTGACACACTAGGATTTTACTGTGTAACACATGCATAACATTATCAGAAAGATACTCTTACCTTGGTATTTCCCAGGAAGTCTCTATATTCTCTTAATATTTTTTGGTTTCTAAATAGCCCTATAAGAATTATAAAACACATTTAGCGCATACATATTCTTATCCATCACATTTTAGACTAAACAATTATTCTCTTTAAAACTCAGTTAAATATGTTCTATTAGGTACCAGCAAAAATATCAGATTATAAGAAATCTGGATTTGCAACCCAATTAAAAAATGCGCAAATAACTTGAATAAACCTTTTTCCAAAGATAATATACAAATAGCCAACAAGCACATGAAAAGATGCTCATATCACTAATCATCAGAGAAATGCAAATCAAAACCACAATGAGGTATCACCTCACACCCATCAGAGTGCCTACTACCCAAAAACATAGGTAACAAGTGTTTGTGAGGATGTGGAGAAATTGGAAACCTTGTACACTGTTGGTGGAAATGTAAAGTGGTACAACTGCCATGGAAAAACAGTATGGAGGTTCCTCAAAAAATTAAAAACTACCATGTGATCTAGCAATTATGGGTCTATATTCAAAAAAAAAAAAGAAAGAAAGAATGAGAAAGAAAGCAGGGTCTCAAAGACATATTTACATACTCTTGTTCACAGCAGCACTATTCACAATAGCCAGGAAATGAAAGCAACCATATTGTCCATGAATGGATGAACGGATAAACAAAATGTGGTATATAAATACAATGGAATATTACTCACTTAAAAAGGAAATCCTGTCACATAGATAAACCTTGAGGACATTATGTTAAGTAAAATAACTCAATTGAAAAGACAAATGCTGTATGATTCTATTTATATGAGGTAACTATAGTAATAAAATTCATAGAAACATTAAGTAGAATAGCAGCTACTAGGGGGAGGGGGAAAAGGGAAGTTGTTTAAAGGGAACAGTTTCAGTTTTGTAAGATGAAAAAGTTCTGGAAAAGAAAAATTTCTGGAGATCTGTTTCATAACAATGTGAATATACTTAACACTTCTGAAGTGTATACTTAAAAATTGTTAAAATGATAAATTTTATGTTGCATTTTTTACCACAGTGAAAAAAAAGATGGGGAGAAATCTGGATTTGCAATGAGATAAAGGCAGTTTGATAAGATGTGCTTCTCAAAATTATCTAAAAAATATGCATTATTTAAGCTTGATATAAGAACCAATTCATTTTTAACTCAAAGTTTTAAAATACAGGAAGAAATACTTTCCTATTACAGTGTTTTCTCAAATTTTGTTACTTTAAATATTGCCTTTAAAAATGTACAAAGCTATTCATGGTATCATTATTTTAACAGAAGACTGGAAATAACCTATGGGGAAAATGACTGAATAAACTATGGTATGCCCCCTTATCATTGATTTCCTTCCTAACCACTGCTCCCCTTCTTGGTACTGAACCTCATACTCTCAGAAATGCTCTCTACTCCTTTACTTCTGGTATTTCTGATCATTAATTGTTTCACCATTTCCACTTAGAAATTTTGCCAACTCATCAGGAGAAGAAAATTTTGTCCCCATTAAGCCTTGATCCTGTGCAGAACTTAAAAATATAGTTAAATAATTCAGAATTCTCCTAAATAAAGTCTGTCTAAGAAATATGTGTACATATTTTTGCAGATATTGGCACCTCTATCTCTACTTTAATCCTGCTACATTTCCATATCAGTTCCCCAGAATAAGAGAACCATAACTATAAGTATCTAATTCCCCTATGGAATATGCTCTATTCCAACAACATTTGATCATATCCTGTATTACCTAAAAGAAACCCAATGGAAGCCATTAATGGAACAGTGATGCCAAAATTCTGGGGCTCCCTGACCCCAATATGTATTTCATTCATTGAAAACAAACATTTCACTCCTGTGGATTTAAGGGCAGCTCTCTTTAGCGTATCTGTGGATATAATCAACAACTGTTTGCTTCTTCGGCGAGGCCAAAACAGCTTAGATACTAGGATTCCGTGACTCTCCTTCATATTTTTCAAATGTTAAACCAATGATTTAAAGGACTTGGATTTTGCAAGGAAATCTATACGTATTCAGTATGCAGGTAACTTAATATTACAGCTAAAAGAGACATAATGTTTTTGATTTTGTCAAGCAAAGGAATCGTCAGCAGAAGTCTCTCACTTTCTTTGCTAGAATTAAAGCTATATAAGAACATCCTAGACCTTCAACCAAGGAACAACTGAGACGATTATTAAGGCTGACAGGCTACTACAGGCAGTGGACAGTGAACTTTTCTAAAACAGTTCAACCATCAACATCACATGAACTAACTAAAACAAACACCTGTTATTTTAGAGATATACACTAAAATATTTACAGATAAAATGATGTAATTCCTGGACTGGTTTGGAAGTAAATTCAGTTGAGTGAGGGTTAGTGAGGGGGATATAGATGAAACAAGGTTGGTCAGGTGTTGATAATCATAAAGCTGCATCCCTAAAGGTATTTGAGGGAATTATTATACTTTCCTCTGTACTTCTGAATATATTTGAAATTTCTCCACTGCAAGGGGGGGGTAAACAAAATAAAATTTGAAGAAAAATGTTAGGAAATACTTAGAACATATAAAACTAAATGTTAAAAGTCCACCAAAAACTCATGAACATCAACTTAAAAGACACACAATCTAATAGATGAGTGAGTAATGGATATAAAAATTATTACAGAAGAAGTAAGAAAAAACAATAAACATATTAAAAATAACCAACTTCAGTAGTAATCAGAGAAATTCAAAATTAAATTCAAGGTACCATCTGTTACCCATGAAATACACACAAAAAATGAAAACATTGTTAATATACAGCATTGTCAAGGGTGTGAAGAAACATACACTCTGAGCATAAATGTAAATTGGTACCATATTCCCTTTAGAGAATAATTCTTCAGGATGCATCAAGTTTTAAAATACCTATGTCCTTTAAACCTGAAATTCTACCATTAACATTTTATCCTACACAAATATTCACAATAACAGTAATACATGTTTAAAAAGAAAAAGTATGAGGTCATTAACTAATGTATTCTTTGTAATGATAAAAAAAATTGGAGAACATAACTTGCTACTTCATAAAACAGAATACTATGCAGCTGTTAAAAAGAATGAGGTAGAAGTAGATTTCTATTTGTAGACATGGAAAGATGTTTATGATTACACTGCTAGGTATAAAGAGCAAAATGCAAAACAATATGTATAGTGTCATCCAATTTACGTTTAAGTGCAAAATCTGGGTATATAAATTTGAAAATGCATCAGAAATATTCTGGAAGGATATACATTAAGCTGTCAACAACAGTTACCTCTACAAAGAAAATGAAATGAAAAAAGATTTTTAATTCTTTATATTTTTGCATCCTTTCTAAAATCACAAGTATGTACCACTTTTGTTATTAATACATACATATATAAATCAAAGAACTATCTGAAACCTATTTCACATTACATAAATCCTAATTCTATTAAGGTGGCTTTGTCACTAAACCATTGGATTATTAAATTCCATGAGAGTCTTATTTGCATCTAAATCTCAAGCACCAAGCACTGCTTCTAGTTCATAGATGTTCGATAAATAGCTGCTGAATGAATGAAAGTAAAAATGTGGTAACTGAATTAACAGGCTTTTCTGTCACTTTTAGAATAAGTATAATCTTTAAATCAAACCACTGGTTTTAGTATTCATGTCTTATGAAAACCACAAACTAGCTTCACTTCCTCTGAACATTTTTTAAAAACTAGAGGAGAAAACAACCAATAGATATTGTTTTTTAAAATAAATGAATCCCAAAATGGAGATTGCTATATGCTAGAATCACAGAGCCAAAGCCAAAAGGTATGCAACCACCAGGGAGCACATAATTATACGCACAATACTTACCTACAAATTAGAGGCATACCTCGTTTTATTGCGCTTCACAGATGTGTTTTTTACAAATTGAAGGCAAGCCTTTACACCAGCAAAAACACTGTAACTCATTTTATTGCAATACTCGCTTTATTGTGGTGGTCTGAAACTGAAACTGTAGTGTCTCTGAAGTATGCCTGTACTTTCCAATTAACTCAACTTTAACTTGAATATACTTACTTTCTCTGTACTCTATTTCTGCTTCCTTACGCAGTTTTTTCTCTCTGGCAAGAGCTTCAAGGCTCCCCCAAACTTCCAAAGATCTGTGCATAAACACATGGCCAAGAATATGAACAATTTTAATGACTTCATTTTAATCATATTTAAATCTAGAATTACCATATAACTATATGACAATCTTACAACAAAGCACAAGGTCCTTTAGGAAAAATACAAAGCACTTAAGGAACTTTTCTAAACTAAATCTAAACAAAAGAGTAAATTCAACACCAAGTTTTTTATATAAATTAGGATATATTTTTAGTTAAGTACTACACAGTACAAAAGTTAACTCCCAGATAAACAAATTTGCAAATAAAAAATATTCTATTTTTTAAATGTCATTTAAAAAATTCTAGGTCTCTTTGAAATGTGTTTTTATTAATCCCAAATTCAACTTGCACTTTTATTCTAAAAAACCTAGTTCTTACTTTGCTTCCACATCTGATCTCAAGTATACAGTAAAGGACTCAGTATCTTCATGGGGACTTCGTTGTCTGATTTTTCGAAGTTGTTCCAGATCACTGAAGAACGAAACATGTTGAATTTATTCAGAAAAGGTTCATACGAGTTATGTACTTAAAAGGATTATTAAGAGCAGATAAAAGCCACTACACATTAACCCTTTTCTTAAAAGACTACAGATCTATACAGCTTTTGAAGATCAGTTTATAAAGATTGCATTTTGACCACAAAAGTTGTTCTAGAGACAGTGAAAAAAAATTATTCTTGATGCTAATATAGATACCATAACATAATACGTAGAGATTAAATTTCTTCATAAGTGCTTACATTTTATCTGCTATGGACATGCCACTACAACGTCTGATGTACAGAAAAAAAAGTGAAAACTGGAAAGAACATGGATTAGGGTATCATCTCTCTATTTAAGAATTTAAATTTAAATTTTACAGTCCTATTTATTTACATCCAGATTAATAGTAAGTGTTAATACCGTTCAAAGGTATCAAGTCACAACGATTATATGTCAATTCCTGCTATTTAACAATTTTTCCCTTTCCTTCAATTCTGAAAAGTTTATATATTCATCAAGTCTCCGCTAAACAGTCATACAATATTTGATTATTGGTGGTCCTAAGAAAATTCTGTAACAGTGATGAAAAGACCTATAAATAAAAATGTGGTAACTAGGGAATGTTACTAAGTTCTAGAAATTAAGCCTGGAATTTAAAAAAGTCAACAACCAACTATCACATGTTAGAAAAAAAGTTTGGACCAGGTATTAAAAGATTATTCAAGTTTTCTCTCTGTCACTGAATTACTAAATGAGCTAGGCCATCACTGACATATTTACTATGCTTCCTGACCTATAAATGTGGAGACAGGAACATCTAAGGAACTTAATTCACAAGAATTTTGTGAGAACTAAATGAAATACTCTACGTAAAATAGAATATAGTAGCTTTATATCAATGCTATAATTACTGTTTTAGTAATTACATAAGTTATAAAACTGATTATAGGATTCCTTACTTCTTGATATTATACCACAAAGGAGGTGACCATGAGGGAGGGAAACCAAGGGTCGATCATATCTGATATGTCTAAAAACCCAAGAAGGCTTCCACGTAAGTATGGCTTTTCTGGGTAAACACATAAAGGGAAGGAAACTTTTTAAATATGTGACAATATAGTTTCAATAAATCTCTACGATTACAAGAAAATTAATAAAAGATACCAGAAAGAAGTAATTTATACTTAACAGAAACCACATATGGAATATAAACATAAATGTACAAACTAAATTAAGCACTACTCAATTCTGCTAGCCCAAAAATCTAAACTAAAAAAGTCAAACATAAAAATATGCAAATAATATTATTGATAATTCTGCCACATGTGAGCCTAACAAAACTCCTAAAATCTTGTGTAATACAGAGAGAGGTTTTGAAAAACTTGCCTTTTTTAATTTAAGAAGCCCAGAAAGACTGAAATTGCTCATGCTAGAGCAAAATTCAATTTAATAAGCAAACATTTTTACATTTTTTTCAACTGAATAAAAATATTTCTTCCTTTAGCCATATGAGTCCACAGTGAGAAGATGGTTGTTTATTAAACAGGAAGCAGGTCCTCACCAGACAACAAAACTGCTGATACCTTGGATCTTGGGCTTCTGGCTTCCAGAATTGTGAGAAACACATTTCTTTTGTTTATAAACAAAAATAAAACAAACAAAATATATATACGTGTGTGTGTGTGTGTGTGTGTGTGTGTGTGTGTGTGTGTGTGTGTGTACATATATATATATATTTCTTCCATTTGGAAGAAGCCACGAGAAAGTTTCCACATGGATAGTAGCAGGTAACACATTCTAAGAAATAAAATAAATGGTTATTTAGATTAGATAAAGTACCACATTTTTGTAAAGAATTACTGTACCTGGATTTAAGGCAGAACTCGTTCATTGCTCTGACGCCAGTGATGAAATTATTCTGAGTGTACTTTGGGCCATACTCCCTCTTCTTAAGGACTGCTTTGACTAAAACCAAAAATATAGAAAAACATAAAAAATATGTATTAAAGTCACATTTAAAGATGAACATATGCTAAATGCTGAAGCTTAGCTAATAAAATCCATAAAATACTGCTCTTTTTCCTGATGCACTAAATGACTTCAGAAAAAAAAATTCTCCAAAGTGCAGAATAGACATTTGTAAACATCTAAGCTTTTATCTCCATAGTTCATCTTTAACTGATGTCAAAATGCCAACCCTTTGTCTAATGGACACCTTGTATAGGTATCACTGGTCGGTTTAAATTGTATTAACACAATTTAAATTGTTTAGGGTCT